CCTTTTCTTTTTAAACGATCTGGACACTCTGGCTATTAGTGCCCTTAGTTAGATCGGTAACGAACATATCGAAGTGTATTAGGGAATATCGAGGAGGAGAGGAAACAAAAATATTAAGCTCTGCCGCCGCCCTGGTCTATGGCTATCTGAGATTGATTTTCAATAGGCAACAGATATAAAGGCTTTAACCTTTTTTATTATTATTTTTCTTCGGGACTTACAGCGGCTTTAACTTCTTATATCTCCAACGCTTGACGTGATAAAAGACGCAATCCAGGTTTCCCCGCTAGTCTTGGAACTATCAGCACGGTAATGAGGCGAATCTGTAAAAAGGGCCAAAGGCGACAAGCCGACGTTCCTTAGCATGCGTCTTACCTTCTGAGAAGCAGAATGTAAGGCTTTGCATTATTTTATTTTACACACTTCATATGTGTGCGTTGTGACCTCTGCATGTTTTAGCACCCATATCTTAGCCATAAATTAAGCAAATGTATTAAAGCAAAAAATAACGAAACGAAAAAAAAACAGATTAATAAGCACGCAGAAGGTGCTTATAAGCGCTACCAAATCCAGATGTCCGTACGTTCACACATGACAAGACACAGTGATATTTTGCACAATTATTTTATTTTATGTATGTTTGCTGTATCATGGCTGAATCCGCTGACCAGGCGACTGGCGGACTTTAGCGCCCACAGACTTCTTTCGGCCCATGCTGAACACATGCGCTCGGTCAGTCGGCAAGCAGTCAAATCAACCAAGCGTCAAGTTCACTACCAGCCAGCCAACAAATTCATAATGGGGTTCACACGATTTGTGCCTACTGCTTTCGTCTTGATTGTGAAACTTTTTGCCGGCTAATGGCTGTAAGCCGGCCTATCTTACATGGCAAGAATAAAGCAAAATTTTACAATAATAAAGGCAGCAGCATGCTTGCAAAGTTCTTCTCGCAACCTGCTTTTTTTTTTTGGTCTACACCTTTTTCTCCTTTTTATGCAAAATACTCAAATTAGCGCGACATTGCGTCAAGTCCTTTTTTTCGCCTTAAACTTCGCCTGCACCTCCGCATCCTTAAATGTAAGCTATAACAAATCATTAACTTTATAGGTCGCTCTGCATTGCCAAGAAGAAAACGAAGAAATGCGCAAAGAGGCAGAAAAAATGTGTTTAGCGTTGCTTATAGGCCAACGCACTTTTCGTCTGATACCAAGCGATGGCGACGCTGGAACGGCAACCACGGTGTGCCACGGAAAATATGTAAATACATACACACATATAGTCGTACAAAGTCCAATAGTATACATAGGTATGTATGTATGAATGCATGTGTATGTATGTGCACAAGTCTAATCCTGGGTGGTCTCATTTTTGCCGCTGTTGCGTTCATTCCTTTTTACCTTTTAATACACTCCTCGTCATTTGAATAGCGCACCCTTTTAATCCTTAGCATGTACAGTTTTCCTTTTGTTTATTTAATATTGACAATTTTTTTTTTAAGTACAGCATATTCTACGAGTAAATCCGTTTTCGAAATTTTATACAAATTAAAAAAAAAAATGTGAACAAGGAGGTGCGCTATCCTAGTGCAAGTTTCAAATGGTTGTAAAATAGCGTTGATTTTTTAAATTTTTTGTTGACGGTGATGCGCATTTTTTCTATATTTAAATTTCTTCGACATACGAGCTACAAAACTGCATATAAAATTTTTCAAAAAATATTATTAACTTATTCAGTGCAGGTCATTAGGATAGCGCACCTCGTTGTTGACATTTTTTTTAATTTGCATACAATTTTAAAATCGGATTTACACGTAGAGTATGCTCTATGTTTATACAAAATTAATGAATATTAAATAAACAAAAGGAACACTGCAAATACTAAGGATTAAAAGAGTGTGCTATTCAAATGAGGGGGAGTGTAAATTTTAGTATATTTTTTGTGCTAATCAGGTTTGCATACAATATTCTTTCTTCACTTATACAAACTTTCAACAGCCGTGCCAATGCGGCGCGTCCCAGCAAGTAAATAAGTATCTAGTATGTACCGACTAATATGTAGCGTTTACATACATACATACGTAAAGACAGCTTCCTCTTGGCTGATTCGTTATTGGCGCACGAAATTCCTAGAAAAAGGTTCCACATTTCAAGGCTACGAACGCATAACCAACAAATATGCGTACCACCAACACACAACTTTTTATGTTCACTTCAACAAATATTGGGTCATATAAAAAAGCTCCGCAGATTTTAGGGTTTTTGAAAAAAAAAACACAATTTTTATTAGAAATTAAGTACTTACCGGCCATTATTATCGACTATAACCTTTTGTAATTTTTCGTGTGGTGTCACAATTCCATCGGTATAGAACTTCTATAACTTGGCCAAGTGATTTTCAGCGACTCTTCGGTCGGCCAATTTTTTACCATGAAGGGAGTTTTCAGAGAGCAAAAGCGCATGGAAGTGAGACGGTTCGAGGTCCGGTATATCGATTAAAACTTCCCAACCAAGTCCCGTCAATTTGTTTTGAGTCATCAAAGATCTGTGTGGCCCGGCATTGTCATTATGGAACACAACTTCTTTTGCGTTGGTCAATTCTGGTCGCCCTTTCTTGATTGCTTCGTTCAAACGGTCGAGTTGTGCACAGTAGAGAGCCGAAATAATCGACAACTTTCCCTTCCAATCCCACCAAACACGTTTGCCGTCAATCCAGGCTTGGAAGTCGTTTGTGGAGCGTCATCATTAATGGTAATTAGGTAAATTAATTTTTTTTTTTTGCGGTAATTCAGGTGGTACCCAAACATCGAGCTTCTTTCTTTGAGTAGCCTAATCTGTTTAGATGATTCCAAACTGCCACAGGTGGTTGTAGCTTAGTGCCTCCTAACAGCTTGCATGCCGGTCTTGTTCAACCATTTGCATCATCCACTTTTCCATCAAAATTTCGTCAACGGAATCGAGCAAACAACTCCTGGGTACGGCGTTCATGCACAGCATTCGTACCGTACACTTCACAAATGTTTCGGCGTGTTGTTGCAGTGTTTTTTTTTTTTAGTAAAACCATCGTACAGCGTATCACTTAAGATATATCACTAATTCACAAATCAATATAATTTTTTGCACGAGCGGCGATTTACAGAACTGTCTTCAATGGATTAGTGTTGCCAGATGCATGGGCGCCAACACTACATATTGACAAAATTCGCAGAGACTTTTCATATGACCCAATAATATACACACATATGTGAGTTTATGCAAAAACAAAAATTTGAACGAATTTCGAAATTCCATATACCTACCCTTGTAGTCAGCTGATTAAGTTAAATCATATTTTTCCCAGTTTTGGCTATTTTTCTTCTGTCTATTTAATGTTAAGTTTTTACAACATTTTACAACATTACTTAACCGGCATCACATAAATCAAAATTTCAAACTTCGCACAAAATTTATAAAAGTTAAACAACTTTAACAATTACACCCAAAATTTTTTAACTTTTTATCAAAAATTTTTGTTGAGCATTTTCTCCTATACTTACTTACTTTTATAGGCTAATATAATGCTATAAATTATTGTTGCTTTTCCACAATAGTTTTTCATTAAAAACGGCAAAAAATAAGCTTGTTATTAAAATTTTATGAATGGAAAAAATTTTAATAAAAATTTTAAGTCAAAATTGTTGAAGTTTGTTGAGTTTTTATGATTTCTGTAAGAAGTTTGAAATGTGGATTTACATATGTGGTGGTGCCGGCTATGTAATGTGCTAGACTTTTATAAAAGAAAATATAAACTTACATAAATAGAAAAAAGAAAAATAACCAAAACTGGTTAAAATGTCACTTAACTTAATCAGCTGAGCACAAGTGTATGTGCGTGCAATAAGACGTCATTATTTGGCAATACATATGCTTCGCTTGCAACCTTGATTGTATTTTTTTTTTTACAAAATGGACTGTATTGTTAAGCATTTTTCCTAAAATTTATTATTGTGATTTATTGAAATTGATTTTGAAAGGTATGCAAGAATTTATTGAATTGTTTATTGAACCATTTGACGGCAAAATGCATGGCGGACTATGTAGAAAAAAGGCAAGCAATTTATATAAAAAAGGCTACAAATCACTTTCACTTGAATTGAATTAGAAAGATTATATGTAATACACTGGTCGAAGAAAATGCAGGCGGCATTTTGAAGGGACGGGATGACAGTTTCAATGCAAGCAGAGAAAATCGCATAAGTCAATACTTCCAAATAATGGCAGCGTCGTAAAATTGTTATTTAATATCGAGTTAAGTTATTAATTTACTTATTTCTAGTATAAGATTCTACGTGACCATGAAAATAAGTATATACTTCCTTACATTCAACTCAACTTAGACTTAATATTTTTTCCTAATTTTTTAAAAGAATTACCGAAACTTAAAGAAATGTTTACTTGTTTAAAGGTATTAGGCGGGTTTTTACTTAAAATCGTCGCAATATCCTTAAAAATAGTAAAATGTTATTTAATATCGAGTGAAGGATACGTTCCAATTTTATTTTCCGCATAAACTAGCCTAGGCTCGAGGGTTGTAAGGCTGGGGGTTGATATCAAGACCCTGAGAAGTGCACCATTCATCGATCTTATGCAGAACTATCTGCGTCTTTCTACAGCTCTACCTAAGAGTTTTTCCTGACGCTAATGCACAAATATCAACTTAAGTTTTGCTAATAGATAGATTGCACCAGAATGAGTATTGAAACTCTAGCTATACCGTCAATATGCAACCTCCAAGACAAGAACCTTGCTAACATTACGTTGGCAGATCCTAAGCAACTCGTTGTCAAACTCATTTAACATAGAGGAGCCACCATGGCTCTAAAATCTAAAATATGGAAACGCAAACATTTATCCAAAACCTCTTAAGTGAAATGCCCAATTCAACACGTATCGCGTATATCTGCTTACAGCTTTAAAATATTTTAAATATATAACTAGATATAAAATGTATTTAAATTACTTTACCTTTCGGATTTGGACCCTCAATTAAGTTTTTAAGCACCAAACACACTAAAATTTACGCACGGATGGAAACTACAAAATGTAACAATTTGTACGTGGTCCTCTGTTATTATTGTTATTGTCGTGACGATGTTGTAGTTGTATTTTGTTGAAATACTCGTAGAACTTTACAGCTTAACAACTAATGTTAGCAGCAATTGAATGCGTTTCTGAAGCATGAGCACGGAGGGACTCGAAGAAAATTTTCGAGGATTTATGCACAGACAAACTTTTTAACAATGAATTTATCTACCGTAAATATGCATGTATGTAGTAGTGAAAACGGTATGAAAGCACCCGCAAATCTGAAAGAGAGAAAAAGAAAATTAAAAATAGCAACAGCAGAATTAAATGTACACAAAAAGAGCTGGGAAAAAAATTTCTTTATAAAGCTGAATGAAGTATTTAGGTACATAAGTATGTACATCCGCGATTAAAACTGAGCGAATGATGATTTTTTTTTTTTTTAATTGAAATTTATTTTTTTTGTTAATTTTCTACCAAAACATTTTTCATGCTATAATCATGGTTGTGGTGAATCAAAGTTTCTAACGTTATAAAAAAAATTAAAAAATTAAAAAAATTTCCATGAAAATTTTATCTATTTATAGAAAATTTTTGGGTAAGAAGTCATATATAGTATAAAGTGAAAGTTTTAAAAAGCTAAAAACTTGCGTTGATTTTTATATATATCTTTTTATGCCCTTTTCAGTCTTTTTATACAACTATGAGATTTAAAAAAAAAAGCGTTGTTACACAAAATTTTGATAGGTTTTCAGTGGCCGCAACATCCAAAATTTTTCGCGAACCCCGTTCCATGATTACGAACCACTTCAATAAAAAAAAACTTTAAACCCAGGAAGATTTCGTAAATGTCACTTTTCAAATATTCTTTAACTTAAGTGGATACGTTTACTGATTCAAGTCGTCTAAAAAAACACTTGCTAGGTAGTACATACAATGGTGGCCACATAAATCGGGACAAGACTTCTTAAAAAAATTAAGTTTTATTCGTTTATTTTTTTTTTACAAAAATTTTGTCTTATTATTTAAAATGAGCAATTCTTGTATAAATACATATGTACATATGTCCATAGATTTCTCGAAAATGGCTGTAACGGTGTTGATGAAATTTTGAGTTCAGCTAATGTTTCGCATTTTAAGGTTACCTAGGTAGGTGTTATCTCCGAGAATATTCGTATGAGGTTGCCGCCTATTCGAAATTAATTACAACTTGAATAAAGATCAATATATGGGCTTTACACCAAAAAACAACAAAAAACCGGTACACAGTATACATACATACACTCAAAATATGTATTTCTTTATAGGGTTGTCACCTAATTTATAATGCAAGATATTAAGATTTAATTTATTAGATTCAAAACGTAAAATTTTTTTTTTGATTTGCTTCCAAAATATTAATTGTATAGATTTCTGGGGTACTGAGTAGGCTGATATTTTTGTTTATCAACATTATTTCTTCAAAGTTTTTTATTTTTATTTCGTTTCACTGAATACTGAGGTACCTATTAGGATAAAATATTAAGGCATCGAAAATATTTTTTTATCCATCTAGCCACATAATTTGTATAAAAAAGAAGTATTCGATTGGTTCAATGTTAGCGATTTAAAAAAATGTTCACCAAATTTCAAACTTTTTAATCAGCATTTTTTTTTTCTAATCAAATATATTGTTTATTTTCGGTAGTGTTTTTTTTTCTGATGGGCTTACGCATTTCTTTCCATAGATAAAAGGTACATATAGTCGGTACATACACGAGGGTTTGGACCGTGAAAAAGGAGCTTAAATATTAATAAGACGAAGAAAGACAATCGATAAAAGTAGACGGGTAGGGAGAGAATATTCAAAGAAATTTTCATGACGTGGTTCCTTTACCGTCAAATAGGTTTACGCGTCTTTTTTCGCACTCAACTTTGATATCGAATCTTTTTTCGGACACCGCGACGAAAAACAAAAATCTCAAAGTAAGCCACCACGTAAGTATACCCCACGCAGTAATACCAATTTTGAAGCGAAAATCCAAAAACAAATTCTACAAACTCAATAACCAAAAATAGAAACAACATAACTGCATACATAGATATGAATGTACGTACGTAAACAAACACATAAAACCCAACCACGAAATGACAAATCGATTGACAGTTGTGTTGTACAAGTACATATATCAATAAATAAGGATAATTTGAATACCGTTAACAAAATGGCAGTACACACCCACATCAACGTCCCGATCCATAAATAATAATCGACACGGGCTGGGCCACCAACCGGCGCGAAGCAATATCCATAAACCTGGCAAAATAAAGGGTGAGTTGACACACAATTCCAACAAGGAATATCGATAGCGATATGTACTATGCATTGTGGTAAACAAAGGCTATCGCCAAGGAGCCACGCCGGACAAAAATAACGATGTCACTGACGCTTTAATGCGTCAACGCTTTCGACAATGTTGATGACGAAAAGCAAATGAAATAGAAATACTTAGATGTTAGATATATGTACACATAAAATCCATACGTACATACATATAAACATAACTAAGAAGTTATACAGGAGAATATCGGTAAGGTCTAGCAAACAGGATTAGCGTTGATGACGTTGGCTTTGATGAGTGAGTCGCGTTAACGTTAATATTTACCCGCAAGTATACGTTTGCTTATATTATAATGCATACAAATATGCGTTGGGATGGATTGGATCGCTATTAATTGGCACAAAAATATGTACGTAACTAATATGCATTAAAATAGAAACGACAGAATTCAAATAAAATACATACTAATCATACATACGTATATTTGTCTGAGTATATTTGGTAGATGGGAAAAATGCCAGTAGATATTTGAGCATTATGGGCGTTATGGTATTTTTGGAACAATTATTTGGCGAAGGAGTTGCCAAAGAATAAGCCTTCAGTCGTCCTTTATTTGCCGCTCATTAAGTGTACAATTATATCGATTGGCTGGGTTATATTATGTATATGTACACAGGCGTAACAAAGTATTTTTTTTACTAGAATTTAATGGGCTGCAAAACTGCGTACTCAAAAAATTCTAAAAAATCTGATTAAAAAGTTGAAAATTTTTATGAAAATTTGCTGAATTTTCGCGAGTTTTGTACAAAATTTAGGAATTATATTTTTATATTTTTTGTTGTAGAATGAACCACATTTTTATACCAAATTAGCGGAAAAGTATTAGAATGAAAATTATTGCATATATTGTGACAAATCTGCTGTGCCAATACTTTGTTCCGGCAGTGTACATATGTATATGTAAATAGAAAGCATATATGTATGTACAGTAGACTGCATCACTCCCCATACAAAAAAAAAATTGGGACTTTTTTCCCATTGGAATTATTAAATCTATTATATTTTAAGACGTCCACCAAAATATTTCAGAAAAATATTAAGATTTAAGCGAGCTGGGACGATTTGAAAATACCTCTATTTAAAAATGAGTTTTTTATGAATAAAAATAGTTTCTTAAAGATGTTTTTTGAAAAAATCCCCTCAAATGACAAAACGGTTTAAGCTAAAAATATTTGCATAAAAATATTAAAAAAAATTAAAAAAAAAAATTTTACGAAATCGTAATGATGATATTTTTGATGCTGTTTTTTAACTTTTTTCAAAGGTTGGTATAAGAAAAACTTGAATAACTGAGCCTAAACTCTTCTGATTTAGACATAAGAGGTGTCGGTGGAAAGGTATTTTCTCACCCTTCTTAAAAACGTTGATTTTTTGATTTTTTTTTGTTGGCAGTGTCCTCCCTCCATAAAAAAGAAAATTGTCGAACATACTTTGTATGGACGAAACGTGAAACACCTTCAATAAAAAATAAAAAAAATCTCAAAAATCAACGGGATTTTTTAGCAACTTAAAATTTCAAAAGATCCCAAAATATATAAAACGAAGAAGCCCGAAAAGTGCTGAAGAAATTAATAAAAAGAAACGTGCCGAAAAGTCCTTAAACTTCTTGTGATAAAAACTGGGGTTGATGTTTTGAAATCTTGTTGTTGTTTTATATGAAAAAAGGGCAACAAAATATATATTAAAAATCAAAGCGATTTTTTGCCCGCTCTTTTTGCTCTTCATTAGACTAAAATTGCATGGACTACAAAACTGCATACCTAAAAATGTTCTAAAGAAGTTTGAGACTTTGATTTATATGATCTTGTTAAAAGCTTGGATAATATTTTTACAAACAAAAATAATATTAAAAATATTTAAATTTGTGACTGGTGCAAAGTAATTATGCATGAAATAAAAAATTCCATAGACAAAAATTACATTTTATTTTTTATTTTTTCAATATCCTTCAACTGGTTAATGAAATGTAGTAATTTAAAAATATGTTACTACTGAAATAGAGATAATTAGGGCATTTTAAAATTTATATCGTTTTCCTCTCCTTCTACAACACGTTAACATTTTTATCAGTCACTGTAGGTATTTTTCTTTAATAATTTTCGTAGCTTTAAGAATGTGGCCATGTGTGTATGCGTGTAGTGGTAAGCAGTGCGCGCTACCACTCCGCAGGGCCTGGTCTCAAGCCCTGGTTAAAGCAACATAATAAAAAATGTTGGAAAAAGGTTTTTTCTTAACAGCGGCTGCCTCTCGGCAGGCAATGGCAAACCTCCGATCGTATTTCTGCCATGAAAAACAGCTTCTCATAAAAATACAATCGCCGTTCAAAGTCGGCGTAAAACTGTAGGTCCCTGCGCATTGTGTGACAACATCAAGGCGCACGCCACAAATCGGAGACGAAGCTCGGCCAAACACTAACATATGTGTTATTATTATTATTATTATTAAGAATACGGCTGCTTTAATTTTTGTATATGTTCTTGAATACACCCATACTTGTACATACCTATTTACAAATAAGTACACATAGACAGTAGAGTTTTCATTTGCAAGGATATTTGAGAAAAGGCACGTGCAAGAAGGATCACCAAAGGATAATGAAATCAAATGTAAATTGGGTAACGCGACTGAAACACGAGTAGACCATGAAATAGTGCATAAGAGAGGATGTAAATAAAAAAGGGGCATGGACAAGCATAAATTCTACAACATAGGACACGGAAGGAGTAGGCTTTGACCCTTAAAACACATTTCCTTGAGTTTCATTTTCTGACAGCATAAAAAAGGGATTTTTTCAAAGCAAAGGAATAGGTCAAGAGAAAATGCAAATTAAAATATTCCACAGGCACGGATACTCAAATAATACAATCGGAAAAATAAAGTGGTATAGTCTGCTTGAGTGC